AGCAACACGTTACACACAGCAACACCTTACACACAGCGACACCCACACACAGCGACACCCATACACAGCAACACCTACACACAGCAACACCTTACACACAGCGACACCTTACACACAACGACGTTCATACACAACGACCGTCTTACACACAGCGACACCTTACACACAACGACATCTTACACACAGCAACACCTTACACACAGCGACACCTTACACACAGCAACACCCACACACAGCAACACCTTCACACACAGCAACCCTTACACACAGCGACACCTTACACACAGCAACACCTTACATACAGCAACACCTACACACAAGCGACACCACACACAGCAACACCTTACACACAGCGACACCTTACACACTGCAACACTTACACACAGCCACACCTACACCAACGACAGTCTTACACAACGACGCCTACACACAACGACACCTACACACAGCAACACCTTACACACAGCAACACTCCACACACAGCGACACCCATACAGCAACACCCACACACACAGCGACATCTTACACACAGCAACACCTTACACACAGCGACACCTTAACACAGAAACACCCACACAGCAACACCTACACACAGCGACACCACACACAACGACGTCTTTACACACAACGACGTCTTACACACAAGACACCTTATACACAACGACATCTCACACACAGCAACACCTACACACAGCGACACCACACACAGCAACACCTTACACACAGCAACACCCACACACAAGGAACCTTACACAACGACGTCTTACACACAACGACGTCTTACACACAACACCTACACACAGCTTCATCTTACACACAGCAACACTTACACACAGCGACACCTACACACAGCAACACTTCACACACAGAACACTAAAAGGACACTTACACACAACGACGATACACAAGAGCCACACACAGCGACATTTACACACAACGACGTCTACACACACACACTACACACACAACCCCACAAACACCTTACACACAGCGACACCTACACGCGACACTACAGACACTACCACAACACAGCGACACCTTACACACAGCACACCTTACACAGCAACACCTTACACACAGCAAACCTTACACACAGCGACACCTTACACACAGCAACACCTTACACACAGCAACACCTTACACACAGCAACCCTGCACACAGCAACACCACATACAGCAAACTACACACAGCAACACCCACACACAGACAACGACATCACACACACAACACAACACTCACACAGCAACACCTTACACAAAAGCACACCACAAAGCGACACCTACACACAGCGACACCACACACAGAAACCTACAACAGCACACCTTACACACAGCAACACCTACACACACAGCAACACCTTACACACAGCAACACCTACACAACACTACAAACAACTACAAGCAACACCTTACACACAGCAAATGTTACACACAGCAACACCTTACACACAGCGACACCTTACACACAGCGACACCTTACACACAGCAACACCTTACACACAGCAACACCTTACACACAGCGACACCTTACACACAACGACGTCTTACACACAACGACGTCTACACACAGCAACACCTTACACACAGCGACATCTTACACAGCAACACCTACACACAGACACCTTACACACAGCAACACCTTACACACAGCAACACCTTACACAGCGACACTATACACAACGACGTCTTACACAACAACGACGTCTTACACACAGCGACACCATACACAACGACGTCTTACACACAGCGACATCTTACACACAGCGACACCCTAACACAGCAACACCTTACACACAGCGACACCTACACAGCGACACCTACACACAGCGAGACACTACACACAGCGACACCTACACACAGCGACACTCCACAACAGCGACACCTACACACAGCACACCTACACACAGCAACACCTTACACACAGCACACTCACACAGCAACACCCACAGACACCTACACACAGCGACACCTACACACAGCGACACCTTACACACAGCAACACCTTACATACAGCAACACCTCACACACAGCAACACCTACACACAGCGACACCTACACACAGCAACACCTTACACACAGCAACACCTACACACAGCAACACCTTGCACACAGCAACACCTTACATACAGCAACACCTTACACACAGCAACACCTTACACACAGCGACACCTTACACACAGCCACATCTTACATACAGCAACACCATACTATACAGCAACACCTTACACACAGCAACACCTTACACACAGCGACACCTTACACAAAGCGACACCTTACACACAGCGACACCTTACACACAGGAACACCTTACACACAGCAACACCTTACACGCAGCAACACCTTACACACAGCAACACCTTACACACAGCAACACCTTACACATAGCAACACCTTACACATAGCAACACCTTACACACAGCAACACCTTATACACAGCAACACGTTACACATAGCAACACCTTACACACAGCGACACCTTACACACAGCGACACCTTACACACAGCGACACCTTACACACAGCAACACCTTACACACAGCAACACCTTACACACAGCAACACCTTACACACAGCAACACCTTACACATAGCAACACCTTACACACAGCGACACCTTACACACAGCAACACCTTACACACAGCGACACCTTACACACAGCGACACCTTACACACAGCAACACCTTACACACAGCGACATCTTACACACAGCGACACCTTACACACAGCAACACCTTACACATAGCAACACCTTACATACAACAACACCTTACATACAACAACGCCTTATACATAGCGAGACCTTACACAGAGCGACACCTTACACACAACAACACCTTACACACAGCAGCACCTTACATACAGCAACACCTTACATACAGCAACACCTTAAACACATAAGACCTTACACACAGCAACACCTTACACACAGCAACACCTTACATACAAAAACACCTTACATACAGCAACACACTTACACACAGCAACAATAACATACAGCAACACCTTACACACAGCGACACCTTACACACAGCAACACCTTACACACAGCAACACCTTACACACAGCAACACCTTACACACAGCAACACCTTACACACAGCAACACCTTACACACAGCAACACGTTACACACAGCAACACCTTACACACAGCAACACCTTACACACAGCAACACCTTACACACAGCAACACCTTACACACAGCAACACCTTACACACAGCAACACCTTACATACAGCAACACCTTACACACAGCGACACCTTACACACAGCGACACCTTACATACAGCGATACCTTACACACAGCAACACCTTACACACAGCAACACCTTACACACAGCAACACCTTACACACAGCAACACTTTACACACAGCAACACCTTACATACAGCGACACCTTACACACAGCGACACCTTACACACAGCCACACTTTACACACAGCGACACCTTACACACAGCGACACCTTACACACAGCGTCACTTTAAACACAGCAACACTATATTAATGTTGTCTAGCACTCAGGATGGAAGGAAACTCTAATGTGGTTTTCTTGTATAATATAAGTTATATGATAGACAGTCTGGTGCTGGAGGAGGTGTTGCTTGTTCAGGAAGATGGGCAGAATGAGAGTTGGTTGGTGAGGAAGCTCAGAGAAGGACAGCTGGTGCGTCGCCATGCTCGCTGGCGGGAGCGAGGTCCGCCAGGCAGGCGGAGGAGAGGCGAGGGTTGCCAGACAGCGGCAGACGAGGAGGTGTTGCTTGTTCAAGAAGAATGGTCAGAATGAATCTCAATGGAGAGACAGAGCTTATATACCCAGCAGCAGCCGCTATGAGTCATGTTGGGAAAACCCGAGAAGTCGCCGGTGACTAGTTCCGTTGCTAAGATACGGTAACATCTGGTTGGTTGCTAGGGAGGCGGTAGCAGGTGGTGGCAGCTACGCAGTTTGTAGGGGAGACGTCCACTACAAAGGAAAAATACTGGGGCTAACAATAACAAGAACCGGAATAAATAAACACATAACTGAGCACAATAGACTAGCCCAAATACAGCTTACCAAATTAAGAAGATTCGGCAAAATGGAAGAGAAAATACAACTACACATATTTAAAGCACTTGTCCGCCCCCACCTTGAATACCCGCCAATACCATTAAACACGATCAGCCTTACCAACCAATTAAAACTCCAGGCAACACAAAACAAAGCCATCAGCAGAACCTCCAAACAACGTCCCCCATACACAACCAAAATTAAAGAGCTTCACGAAAATTACAACATCTTACCACTGAACATAAGAACATACAGCCAAGCACAGGCAGTATGGCACAAACTAGAAGTCATGGAAGACGAAATATATAATCGACTAAATACAGAGGACACCACAAGATCACACAACTGGTGGCCATAAAGCCTTCTCCATAACCCTCAAGAGCCAGAACTATTGTACACTAAACAGTAATCAAAAGATGAGAGTATTCTACTAGTTACACAAGGTCCTAGCAGACGTCTCCAGCTTACACAATTATATACCACAGCATAAAAAAAACTTCTTGACGCCAATAAGATAAAAGATGAGAGTTTTCTACTAGTTACAGAAGGACCTAGTAGACCTCTCCAACTAACACAATAACAAACAACCCCTTGCTAGCTAGCTTAGCCTCCTCCCCCCCTGTTCCCTTGAGCTCGGGCGACCTCTTAGTGCGGCCTTCACCCCAGCCAATCAAATCGTCTCTGCTAGGTGAATAGCCCACCTGCTCTTATTCTCTAGTACTTTACTTCCCGTTTCATAACTTTCCTTCTACCTTACCTCTTCTCTTCTCTCCCTTCCCATGGCAAGCCATTGCCATTTTATCTTCATTATCATCATCATCATCATCATCATCACCAG